GATAAGCAATCTTAAGACTGAACTGAACAGAAAGAGGAAGTAGATAAATTGAAAAGGAAAAAGCTATGCTCTCCATATTTCCAATGACTCTCTGCGAAAAGAATGCAGGCGATAGAAGGCCACAGCTGGGACAAAGTCATGTCCATCAACGACTTGGAACAACATGGCAAATCTAATTCCATACGCATAACTGGTATGCAGGACAAAGATGAACGTGAAACAATAGAGAATACTGTTAAAAAAGTGATAAAAATTTGCAAAGAAAAACTCAGCCTTGATATTATAGAGACAGAAATCGACACTGCACACAAACTTGGACTATACCGACAAGGAAAGGACAGACATAGTATTTGCAACTTCGCTTGCAGATCAACCTTTGCGATAATCAAAGAACGATTTAAACAAAAATCAACTGCTATCATGATTACTAAATACTTTACCCGGTACAACCAGGATGTGCTGAGGTAAACCTACCAACACCCTCAAATAGCATCAACGTGGTCCAAGAAAGGTCAACTTAAAGTTAAAAACCAAAAACGGTAGAATTTTCCATAGTAGTAGTCATCACGATTTGGAAAAACTACTAGAAACCCACGGAACTGAACTTTTGACCAATCGTCTAATTTCCGTAGGAGATTTATTACTAAACCACATTGTATGTTAAAACAAATCATCGATTTATACTAGTGTATACATTTCGTATATGAATATGAAAGTTGTTCCTATATAGATTGTGTTTGACAACACAATAATGTATGTGTTTGACCAAACTATAGAAATTTATTTGGAAAAAAAAATAGAAACCCAAAGAATTTAAATTGAAACTAGAAAATCGAAGTCCACACCTTTAGAAAAATACCAAACAGTATGCATGCTGGTTGCTTTTCACACTATTACATATATATATATGCATGGATTTGGATTTGCTTTTTGTTTTTTAAGTCTGGGATATGCATGTATATAGTCTATTTGTGGTAATGGACAACATATCCGGAAAACAACTGACGTATGTTTTATATACTTGTCCACTTTGTTTACTTCCGGTACAACAACGAAAGAAAGTGGTAAAGTTATCGACATAACTATGTGCTCCAGTTATCAAGGTATGTATCCCATCGCCCCATTGCAGGTCAATACACCTAAAAAGGCTCAATCGATCTAAAATGTATAGCTGTTAAAAATGAATAGCCGTATCAAGCTATAGTTTTCTAAGATTTTAAACTTGCATAAAAATGTATATCTAGGATAATGTTAATATTGAGAGAAGCATACCATTCAGATGTAGCCATAACATGATTGTTTTAATTTTTCATTGAATATAAAAAAAAATATTATGAATATTTCTTAACAAGAGTACGTATGTAAATAAACATTAAAAATAGTTTTCTTTTTTACACAAGTTTATACTTAAGTTATGACAAATTGTGGTGCCACATGTGCAGGAGTTTGACACGAAGATTGTTTTTTTTTTTGTTCTTTTGAGAACTGCAGCGGCGATCTACATTTGCAGCTGAGGAAAGATAGTTTTAAATTGTGTGTATGTATACCGTATATTTAGACGTTTTTCATCAGATCATTGTTAAAAAACACCGAAAATCATGTTTACACATACAGTGTACTTCTAATGTACATATGTACACCTGTGGCACCACATGTATTTGATCTAAAAAATTGTGCTCTATTGAGAACTGCTATCATTTTAGGCTCATGCTGGTCTTGCTGATGAACCCCAATATATATATATATATATATTCTTTACTGTTTGCCTAAATCTATCTCATTCAAATATCATTTGTGTATATGTTAAGTCACAATATATATTACTTTTGTGTACCCCCATATGCTGTGTTACCTGCGTCCTGTTTTTTTAAACCAAATAAGTATACTACATGATGGATAGCCTTCTGTGTATGATAAGTCGAACATGTTATCCATTTAATAGTATTGTACTGAAACAAAGTATAAAGTTTATATAATATAATGTGCTTGAATATTGCGTAATTTGACAAATGAATTGCACAAATATTTTTTACATATCCAAATTATACAAATACAATATATATTTTTATATAGTTAAAAACCTTGACAAACTATCACACGGATACGTTTGTCATTGTTTACATGTAGCATAATGTACAATACGAACATGTATTTACATATTTATCGATATTATTATTTGTTTTCTTTTCAATCATGTGCTTTAAATAGATGATAGCTGTTCTTCCAACACACAAAAACAAAGATTTGTCCTCTTTCTGAGCAAAGACGATACAGCTACATTTAGTGTGTATTCTTAGCTACGGGATACAAACAACATATTGTACACCAAATTCTTATGTCATTGTATAGAAAACTTAATTATTTTGTTATGTTATTATATTGAGAGTGTTATTCTGAATATATTACTTACTGTCTCTTGTACAAACACCAAGTGTTGAGGCCCATTTGTGTAAATATATAATGATATATATATTATTGGTCATATTATTTGCAAGCCGGAAACGCATATTGTCTTTCCACTTGAATATATACATTACACTTGTAATCCAGAAAAGGAAGTCATTATTCCGTTTTGATACTATCACACCAAAGGTTATTTCCGGGACATCGAAACCGACGATACGGTCCAGACCACAAAAACACTTTCGGGTCATTATGCACGAATATAGTGAATAAGGACATTTCAGGTCAGTTACTAAATCATTTTTCCTGTCTGATCTATGACAGATTTGTACAGTTTTTGACATAGATTTGTTCAACAATATCTATTCTAGTGATTCAATTTATTTGACACATTTTTCATGTTTGTATTCTCAGCAGGACACAATGAGCGATGAGGCTTGAGCATTGATATTTTGTGATTTGTGGTATTTTCCCCTATACATGCAAGGTAGTGACATTCAAATGAAATTATCTTTTTAAAATGCACGTCATGAGTTACTTTCCAGCTCGCTGTATGTTCATTTTGAGTAGACCTACAATATGAAATAGAAACCAGACCCAGCCCAAAGTTTTAAAATGTTTTAATTTCATTTTTCCTTTGGTAGTAACATGCATAGAACGCGCCTTTAGGTGGTAGAAAATCACTCTAGTGTCTAAAAATAGAAAAAGGGTTACATGTTTACTTGTCCTGTGTGATTGTATGTATTGTATTTGTGTGTAGATGCCATTTCAACTAGTTGAAATGATTTTTAACAAGCTAGGTTTATTAACCTATACCCCAACATGGCTCATTTCGATGCAGATTTCACTCGTCACGACCTCTTCCCCGGCCCAACAAGGCATGTTTTGACCAAGTGTACTGATATTTCACATTCCTACTATGCAAGGTAATATTATTTTCAAGTTCTTGTTTATATATTAGTGCTTTTTTGTTAAAAGTAACCTGCTTTGCATGGTATTTAAATGATATTTTTCTGAAAAAATGCAGCAAGTTTACCTTGTATTTCATCATATTTAAGTGAAATTGAGGTATTGTAATAATCCTTTTATAATATCCTACAGTACGCGGTAAGGCATTGTGTACAATAATTCATTATAGAGCAAATGTAGGCATGTTTGAGAAAACTAGGCTGATTAATGCAAGGTCAGTACTTGAAAATGTCTTGTGAATTTCAAGATCATATTGAGACCTTTGAAAAAACATGAGAATCATGGTCGAATATTTGTATACCCTAAAGCTAAAGATTTTATAAGCCAATAATATCTTTTTTTAGTTCCTCTATGAGTAAAGAAATGAATAAAGCTGACACCCGAGAAACTCAAGAACTATATAATATACATAACAACAATTAAGTATATATTCACATACAGTATTGAATATTATAAATGCTAAAGTATTTATGTGTATATATAGGTATATGATATTCTATATGCAAAATGCCGTGAGATGAAACTGATGATCGACATATAATTTTATAAGATTAAAAAGAAAACACATGAAATATATATCATGTTTTTGGGTTTGTTTGTTTGTGTATGTTTATGTATGTATGTTTGTACGGATGGATACACTTGCACATTCTAAGGCATGGGTATATGTGTATGTGTATGCATATCTGCATGCATGCGTGTATGCACACACGTATATACGCATTTGCATACATACATACGTTTGTGCATGCCTGAATGCTTTCTCGATTAACACAGGTCTATATGTTCTGATGACTCCCCTTGTAATAATGCTGTACAGTAACACAGCTAGGTGGCCCGTGACATCTTGTCGCGATTGTGTTTTTTCCACTACATATCTCTCACGGCGGTCTCATTTATTTGTTGTTTCTTTATCCGCAGCAATACAAAGGCAACTTAAATGCTTAACTTATGTTTATGTTGCATCATTAGAAACTTTGCCTTCGTCTGCTATAGTGCTGTAATGCATTATTAAAATGGTGTACTAACTGCATTAACCAACAACGATACTTCAAAACAAGTTTTGCCCATATATAAATATGTTCATGTACTTTCTCTGAATATTTACGTGTGAGCTAATGTACCTCCAGTGGGTGCTTTGTTATTGTAGTTGGCTCTCCTAGATAACGAACCAACACTTGCACTGGTTAACAGCACTTAATGTTTGGTGCTCTATTATGCGAATTTGAAGTTGAGTAACTATCTTTCCTATATAAACTACAAACCCTTGCACTTGGTAGGCTATTATTGTTTCAAAATGTATACTGTTGTGATAAGGATAAGAACATATATCTTGTTATATATTGTAATTCCCCGAACGTTACGAAATAATTCCTAGAATAACAAAATGACATTGTTACATATATGAATCGTTATATTGACGATATCTTGAATGTAGGAGTCACATTATTTCAGTCAAATATGTCATGAAAGATGACCTATATAGGGCTATGCTTGTCTAATACGTTTGCCTGAATTGGAATCGTGAATGTACATAATTAAATTAGACAAATACAACATCAAAACCGTTAGAAGTACATATTTAAACGAAAACAGCGATATTTTACTGCATGTCTACAAGTCCTTACCTTGACTTTCTATATGGTGTAGCTACTGTATTCCTTCTTTGTTGATAGTGCAATTGTTGAATATCGATTTAACCAACGCATCGTCTGATTTGAATATTCTTTCACAGACACCGATATCTTTACATGATTCATATGCTGGATGCAATGTATAGTTCCCGTTTCTGTTTGTTTCATCGTTATATCAAGCCGAAGTTATAAATGTATCAACACCACTCTGATGGTCGTCATGGCCTTTACAGTCACACATCTGGAGGATTCAAGGTACATTTTTAAATGTAAGTGCAAACGTTCCCCAGCATACGTTCAAATATTGATGGGACCAGGTGAAGACGGATTTGCCATAAAATACTCCACGCTACAGTGAACATTGTTACATTTTGGCGACGAAAAGGCATTGGTGTCGAATGATTGGATACAAATTTCAGATAAACAGCTATGAATGGATCATGAGTAAATGGAACAGCTTTCTCGACTTGGCTTCGGGACAGCCGGACGGGCAGAACATGTAATGTAGTATATAGATTTACGAACATAGTTTCGGCTTATAGAAAGAAGTAGACATAGATTGACACATGTCTCATCCTTTTTATCTACTGGTCCTTATCAAATTTAAGAAAACAACCCACAATATTAGTGTGTGGTTAAGGTAGTCATCGAGTTTATAGCCAGCTATATATCATGCCTTCGCTGTAATGCGTTCACGGGACACTGCAGACACACTGCAATACGTTTTATTGCAAAATCGAGTAGGATAGTGAAGTATGTTATTGATTTTAGACAGACATTTATCGATAGGAATTATATGCTCTTGGCTCAACGCTAAGCTGAGCCGCAATAATGTTGTAAATAATCTAACATATCCACCTTAGCTGTATCACAAAAATAATTAAAACCTAATAAAACCAGTTATACATCCTTAAGGATTTACGTACCACCGCAAAACAAAAATATGGAACTATGCATTGAAAAATAGTTTCCTGTTTGTTTATAGCACTCTTGAATTATGTCTAAGATGAAAAGCGTACCACAACAAATAGAAAATGTCTGTAAGACATAAATGCCCCCGCTCATGGATGGGACGAGACGCGACGTGACGGGACAAACATGGGCAACACTATATGCCCCCTCCTCCCATTTTATGGCGGGGGCATAACAAACATTTATGACGATATAAAGAAATACAAACATCAGTGAACGTAGTAAATACAATGATGCAAGACCGATATTTGAACTCCTGGACCTCAGATAATTTATACTGCCCTCTAACCCGGTCAACAGAAGAGTGCTTATCTCTACGGTTACATGATAACTATCCAAAATGAAATTAAGGGGAGGTTACGGTATTGACAACAAAGCTGCAGTGGAATTATTTAGTGTTTTCCGTTAAGTTAACAGGGATCCGTTTAATAAATACATTAAAGAGGGCAAATGATCGATTATTATATCAAGATTATTTATACTAAGTATTTCAACGACGAAGGAAGGTACAGATATCAGAACCCATTTGAGCTATTTACATATGAACGAATCAGTGACGCAAAAAACAACATCCATGTACCATAGGCCTCTGATGTTATACATCGCTAAAAATGTTCCAACGTTATTTATATTCATAGTCTATATGGCATGTAACAGGTGCATGCATTTAAATAAAACAGGTGACTTATATTTAAATATAGTAACATCACCTAAATCGTTCAACTTGGCTTCGTACTTTGAAGTGTGAAGTGATATTATTAAAAAAAAAATGCAAGCGGATATATCCAGCAATTCTATCCTTATTAATTCGTTCAAATTCATATCTGATGTTTAAATATTCATGTAAATGCCAGTATGATATAAATAGATGTATACATATACAGATATGTACATTTAGTATCGTGCAGATTTTTAGATAAACGTTTGATATTAGCATCTCAGAGCTAAGCCAAACTGTAGAAAGAGTTAAGAATTAAACCCGTCAATTAATTATTTATTTACTTATCTATTTAACATGATTCTCTAATGTTATTATATAAAAAATATATTCTAAAAACAAATTAAGTAGTACAAAATGAACAAAATTGTCAACTAATACAAATACATAAAGTAAACAGCATTTTCATATTCTGCTAATGTTGTGCTTATTCTTTGATTTGTCATGAGGACAATGATAACTACATTCTCTCTTAGAACACGTAACACAATGGCATAATTACACACTTTATCTATATTGATTGGCATTAGTATACTAGTAGTTATAGTTTCCGATAAATTAAATAAAAGACAACTTCTACACAGCCTAGGAACGTACATTCTATATTGTCTTTATATATATGTTCATGTAAATATTGTCACTTGCAGTGTTCAACAAATAATGATATTGAACGTTAACTTTAAGCTAGCGTTCAGAATAGAAGTGATCACCTTAGCAAGAAAGATAGCTGAAAGACATACTCGGGTAATTGCACATGAAAAAGGCAATATATATACAACACATCCTCATTATAATAAATGAGAAAAAAAATCATGTTGTTTTAGGACTCGTTAGAAATGCTAAGGAAAAGGTGTAGAAATTCGTATAAGACCAAATTATTCTTGAAACAATATAATACAGGTATTTGAGTTGAAATGTTTTTTTGATGCAAGCTACTGATTTAAGGTACCTATTCGTAAACAGATTGTACCAAATAGTTTTTAGCCGTTCTAAGACTCCTCAGTGATGCTAGGGACAAAAGACGTAGAAATTTGTAAAGGAATACAGTTTTTTGAAACAATAAACTTCATGTGTTTGAATTGAAATATCAATTGTAAACGCTTATCAAATGTAGGTTATAGAATAACCTATTCGTAAAAAAATGTATCGTATAGATATTTACTCGTTCTAACACTTATCAGTAATGCTAGAGAAAAAATGATAGAAATCCGTATAGGACTATAACCATTTTTGAAGCAATATAATATTCAAATTGAAAGATCGATATTAAACGCCTATTTAATGCAATACGAAGAACTGAATTACCTACTCGTTAAAAACACGAAGCAAAATGGAAAATTAAAACCACATTTTCAATATAAACGAACACAATCAAAACTGGATGAAAACGACAAAGATAATGACCTAAAGAGAGGGTGAGACATTTACTATCTTAAAACCTAATTTCTATTCTTGGTATAGTGGGGGGGGGAAGGTTTGTTTACTAATAAGGAGCTTGTGGTGGGTGCTATACCTGGTAATAGTTCTGTATGTCAGGTTTTTTTTTATATTTAACGTCCCCGCAACAGCGAGCCTAATGCAAAGACAAAAAGATAGAGAGACCGAAAGAACGAGTAGAGAAGTGAGCAAAAATAAAGATATATATATCAACTGTTACAATAAGTTATATTTAAAAAATGTTTTGCAAAGGGATACAACGGGTCTGTTCTTGCATCAAAGGCAGTATTAGCCCTACCCAGAACTGAAGGCTGTGTCGTTTGTTATGAAATGTTCGACGTCTCCTGTACCGTGTGTATCACACAGAATGACGCCCCAATCCAAAGAAGAACTGATATTAACTACAGGTTGTAGTTTTATAAACGTAATTTCTTACGTTTCTGCATGACAGGTTTCAACCCATTATATAGACATATCACCAGCTGCCGTGTTGAAACACATTGTGTGCTATATCAAAGTTTTGCTTTTTACACAAACAGTGTACGTTTTAAACATGCCGCAACGTTTCAAGACCGACTGGTTCCTTTGTCAAGCTATGACTAAGTGAGCGATTCCTATAATTTACCTGTACAACGATGTGACGAAATTGTATATCTGTTGTGTGCTTTATCTTCGATAGTACTTGCATCTGTGTGTTGACAATGTACTACATTTTCTCAATTTACAACAACTTGGATCTAAAAGTAAAGAATTGATTTCTAGAAATAGATTCCATAAGTATTTAACTGGTGTCCATAAATAAATTGCATTTTAAGTAGAGAGAAATTAAACAGAGTTGGAAAATTATTGAAATGCGAAACATGTATCTGAGTGTGACAGTGGATATTGTTAACCCGTAAAATATCAGCCTAAAGGCAACCTTATTACAAATCCTATGTATACGCTACATATAATTAATTTTGTTTTCATTGACACTCCAATCGAAAAGAAAAAGAAAGAAAATGTTAAAAAAAGGAGTAAAAGTCCACATGTTTTCCATCGCTTAATTTTTTATTCATGTATTTGGCTAATGCGATGGTGCACCGTTTCACTTTTTATTTAATTCAAGTGATTAAGCTGATATCACCAATTCTTTATGGTGATATCACATAAGAAGTAGAGCGATCATTGTTATTGTTATATCGACATAATAAGTTGGTGATGTTGGGGAAGATACCAGTTTTAGTAATCAGTATGAGTATGTAAATACTGAAGTTTATTTTAATACAAGTTATTTTACCTAAAGTGAAAATCCTGTTATCTGATTGGTTGTTCTAAAAAAAGAATTCGAAGAATTGCTAATCGACAGACAGATGGGTTCAGCAGTCTTTCCTTTGGACCAGATAAGCAAACAAAAAGGGAATCAACACTGGTCGAAACTCAGATACTATTTGATTTTGAAGAAAATATATATTCATATTAGGGGACTGCAAATTCAACCGCATGGGTTTCGTTGCCATAGCGACCACACAGCAAACACACGAAGACTTCTGATTGGTCGAAATGTAGATATTGTTTAATTTTGATGAAACCTAATGTATAGGGGTATTAGTGGACTGCAAACGCAACCACATAGGTTTCGTTTCCATACCAACTACCTGGAGGCTTCTGATTGGTCGAAATTAAAATATTATTCTATTTCACTCAAATTTAGTATGTAGGTGATTTATGGCATTTCTGATGCATCTTTGCGACTATGTGGGGAGTTTTGGCTACNAAAAATGGTCCCCTTTTACAATTACTACTTGTTTTAAAATGTATTTACGAACGCATAGATTAAGGTAAGTCTGCAATGAGAAGAAAATGTCCTTAGGTACATTTTTTTTAATTGGACATTTGTTTCTGAGAATAGTACATATGGTATTGCCATGAATGTTATCAAACATGAAGGGCGAATATGTTTGATGAAAGGTGATAAGGTGACTTATTTTAAGCCCCTTTTCATCATTTAAGGAAGCAGTAATTATTTAATACTTCCCAAAACTGAATATTGGTAGTAACTAACTCAAAATAAAAAAAATGTACAAAACTGGACAGATTGATTGGAATATAGCATCAAGCGAGCTATTGACATAAATTAACAGCCAAGGTTATTTGAGGATGGACTAAATATGTGTAATGTATACTGTAAGCTGGTACATGTAGTGGTTTGTTTGGTGGTGTGATTGCCCCAATGCAATAGAGCGGATCTGAAGCCGACTTTAGAGAGAAACATATGCTTCCCTTTGGTAGCATAAGTAAAATACTACTAATATCTTATTATTTTATCAGTAGTGTCCGCTTTATTGAGAAGTTAATAAAAAATAAGGGAGGGGTGACTTTGAGGTATGCTGGGCAGATGTGAGGGGGGGGGGATAGATAAATAACTAAATATATCAATAAATATAGTTGTGAGGTCGCAATACGTTTCACGATATCTGTATGTGGTGC